ATAAATAAAATAATATTTAGCTTAATTTATCAACTAAAATAATATTTATTTTAATTTATAAAGATTAGATATATGTTATAACCACTAATGATAAATGAGTAACAATAAAATAATTTTTCTCAATCAATAATTATAAAATTTATGGTGTAAAAGAACAGGCTACAAAACCAAATTTAAAGTTTTCAACTTTAATATTTACAGTAATAAATTTATCTCTGTTTTGGTATTGATATTTATAAAGTACTTCCGCCAAGCCTCGTCTCATCTCACAACTCCAATAATCATCGGAGATGTCATCCATCACGGAGGCTCCCACAAGTCGATCTCTTTCCAAGTTCCACCATATTGCATGTGAGAAAAACAGTACTAGACTGAAAGCGCCGCTGTCCCCTCCTTTGCTTGAGCCACATAGCTTTTACATCTGCCATGACAACCAAATCAAAGATCAAAACTTCCTCGTCCATCCCACTAACCATCAAAGTTGCTGCTAGAGGAGAAAAAAAGGTAGAAAAATGAGAAGGGTAATAATCCAAACATTCGTCAGAACAAAAAATTTGATCGCTAGAGATAACCCTTGCAATGAAAGCACTTCTAATTGGGAGAAAATTTTCAGTCACAATACATCATTTCCTTTAATTTAATAAAGGACTTGATGTTTATGTTTGAAATATTATATTCAAACTTTACCAAAGATGGAGCTTGACCAAAATTTTAGTGGTCTCGATTTTATTTTATTTTTTTATATATCACATATAATGTATAAACTATATGATAAAAATAATATATGGATAAATTAAATAAGTATTTTATCAGTTTCTTTTATTAAAAATTGTTCTAAATTAATTATTTTTTAATTTCAATTTAGACTTTTTTTTTGCTCTTTAACCCGTATTTTATACTTTAAGTTTAATTCTCCATTAAGTTTATCTTGTATGTAATTAAATAATCAAAAACAATAAATATGGGTTTTAGAGGCTAGAATAACTTAAGGTAAAATTAATTAACAATGAAAGAGATCAAATCAAGTAATTAAAAGCCTCTAACGAAAAACTCAAAACATAGTACCCATACAAATATAGTGTAATATAAAAAGTGTTTCTCACTGAGATAATTAATCAAATATATTTTGTGAGCATAACAAAAAGAAATTTTACTCCATAACTTATCATCTAAAGATCTCAATTATGTCATTGTGAAATGCTAAATCATAATCTAAATACAAGTGAATTCTCTAATGCTATAAAGATAATGATAAATATTTCTTCAACAGTGAAATAAATAAGAAAACTACCATAGTTAAAATAGATCACATTGATTAAATTTTTTTCCAAAATTTTAGGGGGCCATGACCCCTTTGCCTCTAATAAATCTCTTTCCTTGAATTTTACCTTTCGTTTAGATTGATAGAAGTGATGGGAAAAGAAAAGGAACTAAAAGATGTTAAGAGAGTCATTTTTTCCCTTTCCATCAAGATAATGATACATGCACGCTGAATTTTACTTGTTGTCTCTAATAATTCCCTTTCCTTGAATTTTACCTTTTGTTTAGATTGATAGAAGTGATAGGAAAAGAAAAGGAACTAAAGGATGTTAAAATGACCATTCTTTCCCTTTCCATTATGACAATGATACATGCACATTGAATTTTACCTTTTGCCTCTAATAATT